GGGGGGGGGCTGCTCATCTCCTTGGTCCAGGTGAGACCCACATTGGCTAGGGAGGAGTATCACCTCACCTCAGGATGAAGCCAGAAGAAACCATCTGGGGAAGGGTTTTGGGAGGCTAGAGGCAACTGGAAGCCAAGATGCCAGGGACTGCCATGTTTCCTTTGAAGTCCTGTGAGCTAATGACAAACACAGGAGTACCCACGCCAGGTTCACCAGCTCCAGCAGGGGCAGGGGTGTAGCTGCAGCACTAGGAGGGGACAAGCTGGCTGTAGGCATACTGCTGTGTCTGTGTCAAGAGCCAGGACATTGAGGCCAGGGGGTGGTGGGGTGGTGGTGGTAATGTGGGGTCTGGGCCCCCCACCTAGTAGACTGCTGAGGAGAATGTGGGCACCGCCTTTGCTCCAAGCCTCAGGGTCCCAACCTCTGATCTGATGGACCCAGGGCCATTTGCTAAAGGAGCCACTTTGCCCTTCTCGGAGCTGACTGTACTAGGAAGGCACAGCTGACTGCGATCGAAAGGCCAGCACCACCTGGTCCTGAAGAGCCAAGGTCCCCAGCACCCAGAAGCCGCACTCCAGAGCCTCGTCGCCCTACCTGCGCCCTCCTTCAGCGAGGACAGACAGCAGTGTGCAGAGAAGAGAAGGGCTGTTTCAGAGACTAGAGCTACGTTCCCAAACTTGCTGGCCTGAGGAGCGTCAGGGCCAAGTGGGGCCCCGGGGCGTTGGATGAGGTGGGCAGGTCTGCAACTTACTGCTGAAGCGGACGGGCTGCGCCACATTCACCGAGTGGACGTGTGTGGGGTCGCCTCCGCGGGGCCGCCCCTGCCGCGGGTCCACAGCCTCTTTCCCATGGTAAGGACGAGTTTCTCCGGTCACTTCTGGAAACAAGAGGAGAGCCCACCATGAGCACCGTCCCTTGGCAATGAGTGAGGCTGGTGCCCCAGCGATGAGGCCCAACCCGACACAAGACCATGTATGCCCAGCGTCTTCGGAGCACTGCCAGCCACTGCCACGCCTGCCACATGGGTCACAAAGTGACTAAAATGAAGCCGTTTGGTCCCACTCAGAGTGTGACACGTGAGCTCGAAGCAGAGAGGCAGCCATCCCTGTGTAACACCCTCAGCAGTAATCCCCAGAGGCAGGAGGCAGCCCACAGGGGGGTGGGGTGTGTGTGCCGGTGCGTGGCAGCTGGCCTTGGGGTCCTTTCCAGAGCCTGGTCACCCTCCCAGCTAGCCCGAGAGGGGGCCCTGCTAAGTCTGACGACCCTGTGTCAATTATCCCTGTGGCCAGAACAATTTGTCGACTGTGGGTCTGTCCTGCTGCCCGGAGGCGAGGTGGGCTCATGGCATGCCTTAGGGAGGGTGAAGAGGAAGCTGGAACACTGGATGGGCAACAAGTCTGCCGCTGAGAGGACTTCCAGGCCAGGCTTCCTGTCAGTGGGCCCACTCTCCTCTCCTCCCAGCCTCAGGAGGAGGAGCCTGGCAGAGCCCACCCCGGCCACAGGGCAGAGGGGTGCCCAGCACCCCTCGTCCCCACACCAGAGCTCACCTCAGGCCCGCTCAGCAGAAGCATCTCTGCTGTCTGGCTGGGTGTGTGTCATGGCCTCTGACACCGGTTTCATAAGCAGTAGGCTCTGTTTGGCTTTTCCTTCATTGTAAGAGTCACCAATATTCCACACACAACATTGGGGGACATACAGAATCTTGCGAAGGAAAAAGGACACGGTCTTCTAGCCTCCTTTTCCCTCTCACAAAGCCGTAAGTATATTGGCATCCTGTTCAACACTTGATTTTAACTGGTGAGAGTCCATCTCATACTTTGAGCATGTCGCCAGGAGGGACCAGTAACTGGAGGACATCATGCTTAGCAGACCATTAAAGGGGGGGGCGGGCACAAGACAAGAGGGACTGGCACAGTGGCTGCAGCAGCAGGCTTAACTTACCACCTGTGAGGATGGCATCACTCAACCAGTGCTGTGTGGTGTTGTAAATAGTAAATAGGGGGCTGCAGTGGAGCAGGCTCAGTGACTCCTGAATCATTAGAATTTGATGTTGATCTATGAGCCTACATTTACAGGTTTAGTATTAAGGTAGCAGAAGGACATTGGGCCTCCACTCAAGTACTCCCTTACGCAAGAATACCTTCTAGTAAATTGGCATTCTATGATGCTCACCTTCCCTACACAACCGCTGAAGACAAAGCGGGCGAATAAGCAAATGTGGTGAAGAAAGCTGATGGTGCCCGGCTATCAAAAGATATAGCTTCGACTCATTCTCATTCCCTGACTCACTCTCTCACTCACTCACTGACTCACTCACTCTCATTCACTGACTCACTGACTCTCTCACTCTCACTCACTGACTCATTCACTCACTCACTCTCATTCACTGACTCACTCACTCACTCACTCATTCACTGACTCACTCTCTCACTGACTCTCATTCACTGACTCTCTCACTCTCACTCACTGACTCATTCCCTCACTTCCTCACTCTCACTCACTGACTCATTCACTCATTCACTCTCTCTCTCTCTCTAATTCTCTCACTCTCACTCGCTCTCATTCACTGA